ACTAAATCATCATAATGCCACTTACATTAGGTCGCTGAATCAACTGTGAGCGCACATAATGCTATACAATTTTGCGTAACCTAAGTTTGTTTAATATACATATATGCACTGTCATCGATACACGTCAAGTAACAGACCTATTAATCATGAGATTTGTCCTGATCGCTAGCTTTGAATTTGGGATATGTATATCCGAACATGAGATAATCCACTACATACATTTGCCAAAGGCTATGAATTTCGGATGACGTAATCTGCTTATAGTAGTCTTTGGTTATTGACTGAGTCCTTCCTTGTGACAATCTGGTTTCTGGAAAACTGACCAAATGATCGATTTTTGCCAGCTTTAGTAGGTTTCCAGCGTCCTCCATCAGTGTTTGGTATTTACCTATGAAATTGTAGTCAATCAAACACGGGTGACACATGTGATAAAATTGAAGCCAATGCTCGTTCATGGGCCTGGATTCAAAGGTGTCGTGGTCTAAAATATAACGAATAAACTCGTGGAATGTGACATCGTGACCAAACTTAATTGATTCCGGGGACGGGTTTTTTCTGTATTTGGCAATGATCTGTGTTCCATACCGTAGTTGGAAAGCTTTACTGGATTCATAATGTTTTGTGAACTTATTGAGATACGCCGACAAGAGCCTTTCCATTGGCTCGCGCACGAAAATAAACTTGATGTACTCCTTAAGTCGCCTCTCGATCCCTGTTTTGGAATAACTGTTTAAGTGACGTATCATCACGTTGTCATGGTGAGCGGTCTCTGGCTCTATGTCATCCGGGGTGGAGTAATTGCGGTTTTTGGGACTTAAAAATAGCATGATCTTTTTCCAGTTCGTACAGGCGACTTTGGGAATAAAACAGTAGATCAGTTTATGCTCGTCATCAACTATCAAATGATCAAGAGTTCTACTTGATATCGTCTGTAGTGTCGACTCTACTTTGTATTTGTCACATATTTGATGGACTAGAGCTGAACGCTTTTTCTGTTCTTCTTCCATAGAAAGTTTCTAGAAAAAAAATACATTATGCAGGTACATGAGC